GCTTCTCTGTGTTCGTCTGACAGCGACGGTGCTGCTGAGGCACCTCGAGAATTCAGCGGTGCAGTGGTAGCGACCTAGCGAACACACTGAAAATTAAACGTCTCCAGTGTTGTCATCTAACCAGTGTAGTCATCCGAAATGATGTCTACACAAAACCGTAGAGAGACTTCCGAGCTAGAAGGACCTACGGAATCAACATAGCCTGACTGCTGTGTTCAAAGCAAACTTGAGAAAAACAAAGTATGCAACCATGGCTTAAATCCACTATAGGCGAGTACTATATATAGTACTGTATATAGAGTACTAGTTTACCTTAGATGTGCACTTTATAATGTTATATTGCTCTGTTTTGATTCCATAAAAAGAGCTGTTGAAGCAGCTGTTGTGTGACAAAATATTTTTTTCACTGTTGTTGATGGACAGTAATATTATGTGAGAGATAATGTGTGAATAACTGCCCGAAGTGAAAAATGTTCATGTAAAATTGAAAATCGAAATTATTTCAGTAAATATTTGCATTTTGCACATAGAAAACTGATTCATGATTCCATGTTGATGAGTGCATTAAAATGGGGAAAAATAGGACAAAAAATGTTAAAGGAAATTCAGAAACGACAAAAAATGCGTGAGTAATCACGATTAATTTTTAGTGAATTTGAGTTAATATGACAGTTGCATTTTTAATTAGATTAAATATTTTAATCGTTTGACAGCTCTATAATATATTTTTAGCTTGTGAGAGCTCACATATATATATATATATATATATATATTGCCAACAGACCTCATTGCTGAACCCTGTTAGCTTTGCTGGCTAAGGTTTCTAAGGTTTCTAGCGCTGACTCGTTAAAAGTCTCATGTCAGGAGCATAATGAATTTTTGATCGACAACATAACAACAGAGCACCATGGTGACATAGCATGTCTTCCCCACAGTTCCGATGTCCTGGTATTGAATCTTGGTTCTGAGCATCCAATTCGAAAAGCATGCATGATGGGTTGAATAAAGACTTGACCCAAACCGTAGTTGGAATATTAGTATCAATGGCCCTTTTTCCATACATTATGTGACTTGGAGCTTGTGACCAGTCCAGGGTGTACCTCTTGCCCAAAGTTAGCTTGCTGTGATAGGCTCTAGCTCACCAAGACTCTTATAAGGACAAGGCATATTGAAAATGGTTGCATGGACATGGCAACAGCATGTCATTATGTAACAGATACAGTAAAACTGGGTAAATGTTGTATTTTGGAGCAGACAAACTTTGCCTGTTCATTTTCGTCGTCAATTGACTATGCAGAGAGCCACATGACTTTATCAATAGGGAAGAGCGAAAATATACCTAAAACTTAAAACAAAATGCATACAATATTGTGGGATTGAAACTTAGCAAATGTCAAACCTTTGTCAAAAGCTCTTCTGTGATTGCCAAAAGACCGAGATTGATAAAAATAAATACAATTCAAAATTGGACTGCAATTTTTATGAACCATACAAGTCGTATCTTTTGATGATGGACGACAAACATTGATGGTCTGCACAATATGTAATTCATTCTTCTATTTATTATTGTCGACTCAGTCCTGAACAGCTCTAACTTGATTGATTTTCTGCTTAATAGCACCGTAATAAACTCTCAAAATCATGCCATATTAAATGCATAAATCACAATGAGACACAATAACAAACCTCAAATTAGGAGAACAAGGGTCTCCATTCTTCTGTTTGTGGCTGATGGTAAGAAAGCTCATTTTGTCTGAAAGGAAACTGAGGAGAGCAGGAAAACTGGTGGCTACAGCAAAGTGAAGACTCTGCAGTATGTGTACTGTTAAGCATGTGTGTACTGTAATTTTTGTCATTTTTAGCCACGTATGCTCAACTGCTGTAAGAACATGGCAATGACTTATATAATTTTTTTTTATGTTTTATTCGATTGCATTTTTGTTGTATTGTCAGATTACACACAAGCGTTCCTGACAGCACAGCCTCTTCAAAAAGCTCGACAAGCTGCTGAGAACTTCATACAGGTCAGTCCTGACGACGTATGATTACCAGACTTTCATGTTACTAGGACCAAAGGGTTACACTTAAAAAGTACAGTCAAACCTCGGTTTTCGAACATCTCGGTTCTCGACCAATTCGGTTTTCGACCAAAAATTTGGATTTTTTTTATGCCTCGGATGACGAACAAACTGAGCGCACTTGAATGCACCATTTGACTCCTCTCGCCTTCCTTACACGAGGAAGTGATGCTTCCTCGGGTAGACGAGGAAGTGACGCTTCCTCGTGTCGCTTTCCATTGTGAGCAGACGTGTTCAGTAAACATTTTTATTTTAAAAAGAGCGTGGTTTCGTTTTTTGGTCAAACAGCCTTCTGGAACAGATTATGGACGAAAACCGAGGTTTGATTATACACTTGTACACTGTACATTAGGACTCCTTAATGCCTCTCATGAAGCAAAGTAAATTAACAAGCCATAAAAAGTGAAAAATGTACAGTACTGTGTGCTCTCTCTTGCTCTCTTTCCTATCAGTCCATCTCACCAGTGGGGGGCAGCACCGAGCTTTGGCGGCCTCTCCAAGCTCTTGCACTTCTGCCTCCGTCCAATGGCATTCGCAATCTTTTTCTGCTGTCCGACGGCCACGTCCAGAACAACAGTGTCACTTTGCAGCTGCTCAGGGACAATGTTGAACACAGCCGCCTCTTCACTTGTGGCATCAGGTCAGACAAATGTCAAGGGGGTCACAGGTTATATTAAAACCACAGGATTTCTTTACAACTGGTTTATTGCTAAAATACAGGGAGCACTTTGGATGAGGGCTGCACAGTTTCTCACTTTTGTTTGTTTGTTTTTTATCGAATTCACGATTCTAGACAATGCAATCTCGTGATTGTCAGCTTTTTTACTTTTTGCAGTGCCCCTGACTGACCCACTTGTATGGGGCGGCATGATTCAGTAGTCGAGTGGCAACCTCCCAACCTGAAGGTTCATTCCTCAACACTTGTGACAGTGTCAAAATGTCTTTGAGCAAGACACTGAACCATAATTTACGACCAGTGGACCAGGCAGCGCTTTAGATGGCAGCAGCCTCCCATTGGTGTAGGAATGTGTGCGTGAATGAGTGAAAGTAAGGCTTTATAAAGTGCTTTGGGCACCACGTGGTGTAGATAAAGCTCTATATAAGTGCACCCCATTTACAATATCAATTCTTATATTAACTACTTTAAACAGCATCTCCTTCCTCTCCTGCCAAGCGAACCAGTTAGAAGTGGCGTGCTACTCGTGGCAGGTCATACAAACAAATCAGCTCTGAGCTGCTGCTCGTGAACTGGGGGGAATTCTTGACACCGCTCCGTGGCATATTTATGGGCGCAAGCTTTCTCGCTACTGCAGATCCTCTCCGTTAAGTAGCTACTTCTCGCCTCCGTGGCGGGAGATTGAAAGGCAGGGTACATGCTGAACTGGTGGCCACTCACTCACATAGCATAGCAAACCTTTCGTCAATAATAATTGAATATGAAAGAAAAAAGAAAGTTCAACAACACATTGAAAACTGCTGTTGAATCAAGACTAAAGAGATTATATTTCTGGGTTGTCTTTTTTAATGGGTTATCAATTGTTTGTTTGTTAGCTGTACAGCCAATCGGCACATGCTGAGAGCCCTTGCCCAGGCAGGGGACGGAGCATATGAATTTTTTGATGTTAAACACAAGCACAAGTGGGCAGAGAAGGTGAGGAAATAAAAGTGACACTCACATTCATATTTTTGGGTGATTTGCGTGAAACATTCAGGCGCAAACTAACCTAGGACGGGTCCTGTCTCTGTCATAGGTGGAGTGTCAGTTGAGGCGCATGGCATCTCCCGGCTGCAGTTCTGTGTCAGTGAAGTGGCAACAGTTTAACCCATCAGCTCCCACTCCTGTGCAAGCCCCCAAGCAACTCCATGCGCTCTTCAACGATTGCCACACGCTTGTCTATGGCTTCGTACCACACTGCACACAGGCATGACATTGTTCACTTATTAAATTAATTGAATCTTCATAATTAGCCAACTATGTTAAAACAGACAATTTATCTCAAGTAGTTGGAGCCACACTACTATTACAGCAGACAGGCCACTTTAACTTACCGTATTTTCCGCACTACAAGGTGCTCTGGAGTCTAAGGCGCAACTTCAATGAATGGCCTATTTTAAAATTGTTTTCATATATAGTGTGCACTGCATTATAAGGCATATAAATTAGAAGCTACAGTAGTGACTGCGGTTGCATTATGGATCCACTAGATGGAGCGACACTAAAGGGAAGGGAATAATACAGTGCAATACAGCTTTATTTATTTAGATCTTTCACAACCGCTGCAGCTGTAACAAAGCGCTTTACAGAACATTTAAAATCCTACATCCAAGAAATTAGAACATTGATCCTCATGTTGCTCCCTCATTTAGCATAAAGCATGACATGAAGTCCATAAATATACTGAGTTTATTCCTGAGCATAAATACAAATGGCATTACAAAATAATAAATGAATGAAAGAGGTTATGAAGACAATTGGTTCAACAAAAAAGGCACACAAACCTCGTGAGCTCACATCCAAAAGGGGCTAAATATCCTTAGAAATCTTACTTGTCTCCTTCTTCCTTCATTTAGTCAGTAGTTAACTCTGCTTTTGGTGTAATCTTTGTTTCATAATGGCTATGCAGAGCAAGTAGTTGTCTTGTCTGAGTGTGTGTTGGCGGCTGCACATGTCAATTAGTGTCGGACAGAACCCTTTTCGGATACAATTGGTTCCTGCTAATAATCACCACTAGGTGGCATAGGAACACTAACAGGGAAACAACTCTATGGGGAATATATAAAGAGACTGTAGTGTCATGTAGTGTAACACCATATATAAGGCATATCGGATTATAAGGCGCACTATCAGCTTTTGAGAAAATTGAATGCTTTTAGGTGCGCTATATAGTGCGGAAAATGCGGCAATATAAAGTAAGCCTTTTTGTAGTCCCTGACCTGTTATGATCTTTTCCGAGATCACACGAGAAGGGCATTCTCAGGGTAGTAGTATGGCCGTAAGCCATACTGCACATCGCAATGTACCATCAACCAACCCATTGATTGTGTATGTGAGGTTGTTGGCACATGAGGTGGCCCCAAATAGTAGAATGCATTTTTGATAGGTCAGCACGTGTATACCAGGATTTGTCTCCATGCCAGTGATACACAGACAGCCTCTTACTTAGTCATTGAGTTCACTGCTGCAAGGGCATTATTTTTTTGTTTTTTACTGACACAGCCAGCCATAAAAGCCAATATGATACAAAAATGGAGCGTTTGCTGCTAAAAGAAAAATGTAGAGTGTACATCCCTAGACTTTATAAGTTGTAGATGACGGAGCAACAGGTCTGTAGTCATTGCAGGTTTCTTGAGATTTCAGTAATGGTCGAGGATTTGACGCACAATGTGACTTCACACATTTCCAGGAGTAGAAGGAGAAGATCTGAGTGAAGTCTAGAGCCAGCTGATCCATACAGACTTTTAGCCAGGAGGTAGAGACACCAATCGGGCCAGGAGTTTTCTTTATCTTTTGTCCCTTGAAAAGCTGACTCACTTCCCTTATCGCATTATCGCATTGTTACTTGTACACAACAAATTGATGCATTACTGGTTTTTAAATCAGTCAACTATAATGGTTTGATCTATTATTGTTCAAGTGAGTGCAAACAGGGTGACAAAACCTTTGCAAAATCTCAATGTTATTTATCACAAATGACAATTTGACATTTCGGCACAGATTTTAGCAAGGATCGTGGAAGTTGACGCACATGATTTGCACTCGCGATCTGGCCCACGGGCCTTGATTTTGACACCTCTAAATTAACCACTGATAAAACTGAAAACAAGAAACAGTCAATAGTTTAAGAGTTGATCAAGTATAAAAACAATTATCATTTCCTCTAGTTGAGGCTGCTCCTTTTTTAGGACTAAGTGTCCCAAGTAGGCTCAAACAATTCAAAGAAAAATACATTTAAATGTCATTAACTATCAAATGTCAAAAAAAAAACAGTTGACCACTGTCAGTACAACATTTGATTGCTGAGATTACTGATCTGAGTTTGCTGTTTGTCTATTGCAGGCTACCCTGCTTGGAAACCTGAGCGGCCAGGAACTAAATACCATGGTGTCCACGAGTGAACTGCAGAAGACGAGGGGCACGGTATAAGGATGCAACACTGCCAAGTGACGTGTTATTTTCATGATGAATGATGTGGTTGGTCATAGTGCTGTAATGTGTATGCGTGCAGTTTCTTCACAAGCTGACAGCGAGAGCTATCATTAGAGACTACGAAGACGGAAGCTTTGATTCCAACGAAGCTGAACATGAGGTGCCTGACAAATGTACAGACTCAAATTCCAATGAAATTAGGATGTTTAACGACAACAACCTTATTTTTGCAAATATTCTCTCATTTTGAATTTCATGCCTTCAACACATTCCAAAAAAATCTGTGACAGCGGCATGTATACCACTGTGTTACATCACCTTTTCCTCAACACTCAATAAGCTTTTGGGAACCAAGGACACTCGTTTTTGATGCTTTGCAGTTGGAATTCTTTACCATTCTTGCTTGACATACAGCTTTGGTTGTTCAACATTGCAAGGTCTCAGTTGCTATATTTTGTGCTTCATAATTTGTGACACGTTTTCAGTGGGAGACAGATCTGGATTGATGTTGTGACACATGCAAAATGCAGGTTGGCATTGTTTCTCTGAAATAAGCAGGGATGCTTTATCTCCTCCCTCTGGCAGCTCTCAATTTCGGCCAGAGCTCTTTCCACTTCTGTTGCACAGATTCAGAGAAATCTTGATGAATGCAAATCTTAGCACCCAAAGGAGCTTGGGAATTTTTCTCGGTCTTCCACCCTTCTGGTCCTGACCAATTCTCTGAACACGCTCACTGTTCATATTTCTGCCACGTAGGCCCATGTATTTTGAAAACATTTGATGCACTTTTTTTCACTCCAGTTCTCCTCTTTCTCATCGGCAATTCCGTTGATTGAAATATTTTTCTCCTGCTCTTGTTCTCAATGTAATCCAGTTTGGTGAACATTCTAGCCATCTCCTGCTTGGAAGTCATGATGGAAATTTGCATCTCGATCTCAGAGCATCCCATCTTATTTTTTAAGTCAATTCTGTGCTCATTTTCAGCTCATGTACACCTCTTGTTAGCTCTGTCCATGATCAGCTGAATGAAAAGTTTAACGTTGTCCCGCAATTGCATCTCCTTGTAGAACTCTGTGCTGCTCCATTAACTGTAAGGGAACACTCATTGAGACCGCGGCATCATCCTCATAAGGAGTTGTTTGACTTTTTTAGAAGGCATGTGTCAGGTCAGTCAGGCAGTCAGACCCTTAAGACAAACTTTAAATCACAAGAGAGACTAGGATGCTAGCAGAGTTGTTTTTTCTCGTCAGGAGAACTTGAACATGAGTCTCAAAACAGCTCTGAAAACCTTTCACTCCTCTCTCCACTTTATTGTCTTAGGGAGTGACCTAACACACAAACATCCAAAGGGGTGGGGAAACACACACAATGTATTCCGAGGTAATTGGAGGGGTCATACTGACGGTTGGCGGTTTGTGATAGCAGCTGTGGACCCGTCACGGGCGTGCCATCCTTTATATACAATTACCGTATTTTCACGATTATAGGGTGCCATTAAAAGTCTTAAATTTTCTCCAAAATGGACAGGAAGCCTTATAATGCGGAGCGTCTAGTGTATGCGCCGAGTACCAAAGCCTGACTGAGAGCATTTCTGGCCGACACGCTCTTTATAAGAGAAAAGGCGGACGTGAGTGACGACAGGCATGTGGAAGTCTGCCAATGAGTGACGGGTGGGCGTGTAAGAGGACGCTAAAGGCACGTCCCTAGCAGGTACCAGTCGCCAATGAGTGAAGGGTGGGCGTGTAAGAGGACACTAAAGGCACGCCCTAGCAGGTACCAGTCGCCAATGAGTGAAGGGTAGGCGTGTAAGAGGACGCTAAAGGCACGCCCCTAGCAGGTACCAGTCGCGTGAGTACATTGTAAAATGGCTAAATAAAGTACAAACGAACC